TCAAGCAGCCCTTTTAAAAACTATAGATGGAGGTGGTTAATAAGATGTTCACACCAAGTCAATATACTAGTATAAACTTATGAGGTTACAAGCTCCTTTGAGCAGATAAAAACATATATGTGTAAATTATGATGTACTTATGTGTCCTCATTTCTTTCACATACAGTACAATGTGTTCACAATGTATAATGTAGTCAATTACAGAGACTTATCCTTATAAAAAGATCAATCAAAAGGCAGTAAATTAAGGTCCATTCTTTGATTAAATCAAGTTAGAAACCAACTTTTACAGAGATTTCCCACGAAAATCTATTCATTGTAACAATGATTTATCAAAATCATATATGAATTTTTTCTTTCTCTTCCTAACTCTGTATGTATAAAAATGTATCATTAACAAGAACAAGTTCCTTGTTGCTCTGCTTGAGATGAATTAGTTAATGGCTTTAGGTTCACATCTACCAAATCTTCTTGTTTCGTCCAAGAAAGTATCTCATTTCCTTGTAACGCCGATGCAATCTTACAGAACAAAGGCTGCATTCAGAAACAAACAAGTAGGTGAGAATATATATAATAACACGGACTTGTGTAATCGATTTTTTTTTTTTACCTTACTTTTGCACTAGTCTCTATGAACAAAGCTCCAAACTCACGAGCTTTGTTATCTCCTTCATCTATTGAAACTTGCCTGTTGAATCAATCAATCACACAATTAATTCATGAATGTTTTGTGTCTATATGTAGTACCGATGATCTTTTAATCGACTGTTTTTGTTGTCTTTACCTTTTATTAACAAGATCGGTTTTGTTACCAACAAGAACGATAATGACATGATTGCCTCTTTCCGCTCGAACATCTTCAATCCACTTGGAGGTGTTCAAAAACGATTCCTTATCTACACATTCAGAATTATGAAAAATCGAGATTGACCGGTTCTTGAAACTTGTATAATCCATGAATGAAATATGGTCCAAGAAATTCGTCCTACTTGCAACATCATAGACAATAAGAGCAACAGAAGAATCTCTGATATAACTTGGTATTAAGCTTTTAAATCTCTCTTGTCCTGCAGTATCCCTCCCTGCAGATACAATATACGAAATGTCGATAAGCATTGCATAAGGCAGAGCCAAAACATCGATAAGCGGCTTTCTGCAACAGAGATTTAAGCCAAGAAAATGCATTTAGAAGCAGAGAAGAAGACAAAATAATATGAAAAAATTGGATTAATCACCACAATTGCAGACGAAGAGTCGTCGTATCTTCATGCCTAATTGTTTTTGACAAAAAATCAATTCCAATTGTAGCCTGCAAATATCTTTCCAACCGGTTACATGAAAAGAGATTATGTACAGAACAATGCCCAAAAATCAGGGGAAACAAAAACCCTAACTTGGAAGAACGAATTTCTAGACGATCATCATACATGAAACAAGATCTGTGTATCGATAAAAAAAACAATCGAACGGTACGTATTGATCAATTGTAAGATCTGGATGGGATTTGTGCGAACCGTACATGAAAGCAGTGATGATGCTGGTTTTGCCAACGGACTGGTCTCCGAGGAACACAAGTTTGTAATTCGCTAAATGTTTCATCGTCGCCATTTTTTTTCTTTTTTTTGGATTCAAAGGATCAATTTTGAAACTTTTGAGGTCTTTGGATTGAATATCAGAGAATCAAAGAGAAGAAAAGAAAGAGA